AGGAGATGTTTAAAATACCATTTCGATGAACAGTCTGAGCCTTCCCTATATAGGCAGTGCTACTGCCTGCCTGATAAGATGTACTTCCCGTGACCAGCTAAGAAATTGCACAAAAAACTCACTGTACTGGGGTAATTTCTTTTATTATAGCCTCGGGTCAGATTCGAACCCGAGACCTCTCTCACAGCAGGAGAGTGCTCCTATTATCAACTAAGCCGTAGCCTTTCCAAACTAAAGTACTTTTTAATAATTCATAGTATCAAATTCCTCAGCTCCATCGTCGTAGTGTGTGTGTGTGTTATTTTTTTAGGTTGGGGGGGGGGTGACATTTAAGTTTTTGTTATAAGACCTACACTGAGATGTATTTTCTGTTACCCTAACGTGTCTGAGGTTTTGTAGGTTATTGTTTATTCTCTGAGTAGTATTTACCTATTAAAGAAAAAAGTTGTGACCGTTTAAAAATTTATTATTTGATCTTTGAGCCTAACTTATCAGAAATATTTCAAGGAATACTTCAGGTTATCAGACCCTCCCATTAACTTTATGATATCTATATAAGTGTGACATTTAGTAGCTGTGAAGACCCTTAGGCTTAACCAGCTGGATGAATTCACATCTTGACTGGCCTATTTCTCTTGGTTCTGTTATCTAAATGTAGAAAGTAAGTAGGACAAGGAATTTTCTCCAGGAAATCTGTGTCACTTTAGATAATTTAAACGTACAGACCTAAAAAAACTGCCAAACATTTAAAAAAAGCATCACTATGATCTTACGAAAACACATAACATACTTTACAAAGTGATGAAACATTTACAAAACTTTATAAAACAAATAAATGCAAGGACTTCATAAGAAACCCTAATAAAAACATCATAATATCATTACTAACAAAACATCAGGAAATACCAAAAGTCGTTACAAAAAAAAAAGAAACATTGTTACTTTCTATCAAATATTAATAAAAATTAAAGGTAACTTCATAAAAACTATGAGAAAACATATTATCATAAAATAATACCAAGATTATGCAAAGACGAAAAGAACATCAAATCTTTACAAAAATAGCCACAAGTGTTAACAAATTCTTTCAAACTGTGACGAAACACCATTAAGACATAATTCAAAAAAAAAAAAACAGTGGGGAAAACTGTTTGTTAATGTTAAGCGCAAAGCTGCATAATGGAATATCTGTGCTATGTCCATGGCAGATATCGAACCAAGAATTTTAACATTGTAAGCCTGCAAGTTATATATTTTCACCAACGAACATTGTTTTTTTTTTGTTTTTCTTACCAACTTAGCAAGTAAGAAGATGAATAACATTACTAATGTGTCTTTTTCCATTTAATCATCTTTCGCATATTACACGGTCAGATGTTTGACAGTTATAGTAACTGGTGTTTTCTAGTGAGGAACAATGTTTGATATAATGAAAGCTGTTGAAAAGAAACACAGGAACATTCTAGAGTAATTTAACGATCCATTGGGATTACTGGATACAAAACTAAGAGCCATATTTGATAACAGTTATATGCGATTTATGAGAACACTTAAACAAATTAAAAGTATGAGAAGGAGAACAGAGTTATTGTTGATCTTGTCGTATTGTTACAAACCAGAAGGTTTGGATGTAGAACAGAGTCCAGAGGGGATGGAATGGAAAACAGATTATTTGTTGATCTTGTTGTATTGTTACAAATAAGATGGTTTAGGATGGAAACAGAGTCATTGTTGATCTTGTTGTATTGTTACAAATAAGATGGTTTAGGATGGAAACAGAGTCATTGTTGATCTTGTTGTATTGTTACAAACCAGAGGGTTTTGGGATGGAAAACAGAATCCCTGTTGTTTTGTTGTATTGTTACAAATCAAAGGGTTTGAATTGGAAAACAGGGTTTGTAGACGACCTTGAATAGGAAGATCTTGGATTGTGGAAAGTAAATACAACTATAACTAGAATTTTAGCATAGATTTGTGGATAACATTTGGAATCACGAGCTAAATTATCAAATTTAATTCCCCGAGTTTGTGAATTCAAGCCATCAAACAGTAAGATTTACTATACCACATTTACACACAATCAAACAACTTCCATTTCTGGACGTCGTGTGATCCATCGCTAGTGGAAAGTTGAAACCTACAAAACAGTATTACGACAAACCCAGTTACTTGAACCTTAAGTCTTGTTATTCATTATATATAAAAATAGGTTTGATTTGGGGTAATTAACTGTATAGACCAGTTGAGGACAAATGTCTAGCCATTCAAAACCTGGTACATAAGTAATAAAATAAGTCGGCAATTCTTTACTGAAAAACCATTCCATTGTTTTCAACAAGGGAACAACACTCTTCAACACTGTCACTGCCGTTCCATCCTGACAACAGTATTGGATACAACAGAGTACGGGATGTTCCCGAGAACCTTCCGAACATCTGTCTTCAGTTGTTAAAGGCAGAATGAGGTTGGAAGTGTGTTATAGTTAAGCAGAGTAGAGATTGTAAGGGCCAGGTTCTCGACAGCCACATAAAACACGTGTTTGTTCAAGTTTTAACTGAAATACGTACGTTATTGTTTGTAGATTGTGCTTCTAACAGCAGTGCCAGACGAAATATTGGAGAGTAAAAAATGAGAACTTCTCAAGAATAATTTAAGGTTATTTTTGTGTGTGATGAACAATAAAATATAACAAAAAATAAGTCCTCAAAAATGATAAGTCGACAACTTTAACAAAACAACCAATAACTTGATAAAATTTAACTGTGTTGTTTGTTGTTTTTTTTTGTGTAGACCTTAATTAAGGAATTAGCGGAACCTTTTTTGTACACGTCAGTTTTAGATATATTAAAATATTTTTAATTTGATTAAAAATTCCTCTTATATTTTAAGGACGACATTTTTATGTGTTTTTTACAGTATAAAAAACTCGAATTATTTCCAGTTGTTTGAATTTCGGGCAAAGCTGCGTTAGCCGTCCCTAATTTAGCAGCTAGTCTTTTACCAACGAATAGTGGGATTGACCGTCACATTATAACTGTCATTGTGTTAACTGAACTGTAAGTAACGTTCTACAACATGCCTTGCTGTATCTTATACGACACTGTAACAATTGATTTTTTTTTTGCTTCGACTACAACAAATTTTCTGAACTTTAAAAATGTATTCACCATAGAAATTTTTAAAAATAAATCAGTTGAGTTACATAAATGTGTGCATTTTCTCTTTGTCATATGTAAGCTTATGTAAAAATATTAAATATTACCAATAAAAAATACTATGCTAGTTAAAGCGGGAGTCCAACCTGGGTTCTCCACTTCTAAAAAAAAACTGAAAAATGCTGCTACAGTTTTTTATTCGGTGTTGTTGTAGTTATCGAGAAGTGGAAAGTCAATCCTTTAGGCTTAGAGGCAAGTCACGAGATTCAATCTTCTAGGTTGAGGTGCAAATTATAAAGGAAAGAGACTATTAGTGTTAATCTCTGAACTATCAGTCTATGGAAGATAAGCCAATAAGTACAATTTAATCGTAAGTTGAGATTATACAGGTTTCGTTCCTGTACTGGTCGACATAAGGTGGGGATCTGCACTGTACTAAATAATTTTCAACTGTAACATTAAATTCTTCACTTATGTTATGTTCACTTTTTTTTCCAGGGGATCACGTGGGGTCGAGCTTTTCAGCTTCGGCAGGAAGATGCGACTTCCTCGCTCGAGTACCTCAACAACAGGGAGTCAAAGCTAGGGGGCTACGTCACTACCATTGTCCACTTTCAACCACGCGATCTTAAAGATCCGCCTATCCCGGTGATGCTATACGTAGCGTTGCCAAGCAACAGGATGTATCTTGGGTCAGCTCCCCTACCTGAAATAGCTGACCAGATTGCCCAGTCTGAGGGCCCTAGTGGGCATAATGTAGAATATCTGTACCGTCTGGCGGACTACATGCGCGAGACTTTTCCTGACGTCTGGGATGCCCACCTTTACAGCCTGGAGCTGTTGGTTAAAGCGAGACTCGAGGAAAACAACATTTCGCCGCAACATCTTATGGGCGAGAAATACCTTACGTCTTCGGATCTTGCTCGGCACCAGTCGGATGATACCGATTCGGACTCGGCGGCAAGCAGTCCAAGACCCGACGTAGCAATTCGCAATGGCTTCGACTTTGCTTCACATGTACCTTCACGAAAGCTACGTTGCCTCGACCTCTAGCGGTAATAAGGAGAGTGTTAAGCTTGGTTACCTATTCAGGGGTCCAAACCGTGTTAGAGTTCTTGTTAAGGCATAATCTACAGTCTATCAAATAATTGGAGATGTATACACTGCATATACAGGAATCCTTATAGTTCTCAGCCGTTGTAAACAGTGTTCCGTTCAGACATACATTATTTTCATTTTGTATTTATCACTCTCTTACGTGACTCGGTAACCGCAACAAAAAAAGAACAATGTTATTTTTATAAAGCATTTACTTTATTTATATTAAGCAGTTTTTGATAAACATCACTGTGCTATACGGAGTGTATAAATGAGTTATGTAGAGTTACGTGCTTTTAATTTATTTTTCTCTAAGCCTAAGTGCCCTGTCTTCTATGTATGTCATTTGGCACAACAATTCGTTTTCCTTACTATTTAAAAAATATATAGTCTTCTCTCTCTCTCTTAGATATCTTCGCTTCCCTACTTTTAACGTTTCGATTGTTTACCTGTTTAAATCGGCATGTTTTTAACCAGGAATGATTACTCGATTATACTTTATAGACAGCAAAATAATATGTACATTACGGTTGCATTTATAAAACTGCGTTCTCGGTTGTAAAATCCACGGTCTTCCTATAACTTACCAAAAGTTTTTTCTACTACTACTCGGTGATCTGTACCATCTGAGTCGAGTTCGTCTTTCTCTAGTGTGATAGAATTCTTTAGGTGGCGCTATTTCAGCAAAATCTTGAGGGGGGGATAAAGTTGAATTCTTAATTTCTACAAAACTGTTGATAACGTTTCGGAGTTCGTACATCAATTGCAATAACTACTTAAGAACCAGAAGGTTATAAAGAACAGAAAAGGCATAGAAGTTTCGATGTTATATAAATATTAGTAATTTCCTATAAACATAACCCGTCAACAGGATATATTACATTTCTCAAAAAGATAAATAAAAACTAGGCCTGGGTTGGGAGGCTGCACCCCAACCCCATTGTCGTCTAGTTTCTTTCTAATAATTCATAGCATTTATTCTAATTGTAGGAACGTGCAACAATCCGGAACTGACATGTTCAATAGAATATTTATTTTCTAAATTATTAGATTACCAGATTATTTATATATATTATATTACTGAATAAATAAATACGACGCTTTTAGTGTTAATTTCCAGTTCTACTTAAAATGTGGTAAAATGCTTGGTGGGCAACATTAAAATGAACAACACCCACACCCTTCTCTCCGAAATGAGTGTTGTGTTCGGACAAAAGACAACAAATTAAAATGTTTGTTTTTCACTAATTCCAAACTAGGCCATTATGTTTGAAATAAGTGCCTATAAAAAATGTTTTGACATGGCCCTAGTGCTTGGTAGCTGCTACTGTACATTTATAGTCCATTTTTACAATCCTCTCCACTTGTGATAATAAATATAAATAAAACTGTTGGAAACTAAAGGAAAGTAGACATTATTTGACATCTTTAAGATATTTTTCAGACATTATTTCTCATCTTTAAGACATTAATTGACATCTTTCAGACAATATCAGATATTTTTCAGACAATATTAGACATCATTAATACATTAATTGACATATTTCAGACAATATCAGACATTTTTCAGACAATGTTAGACATCTTTAAGACATTATTTGGCATCTTTCAGACAAAATCAGACATTTTTTTCAATCAATATGAGACATCTTTCAGATATTATTAGACATTTTTCAGACAATATTAGACATCTTTAAAACATTATTTGACATCTTTAAGACATTAATTGGCATCTTTCAGACAAAATCAGACATTTTTCAATCAATATGAGACATCTTTCAGAAACTATAAGATATCTTTAAGACATTATTTGGCATCTTTCAGACACTATTATACATCTTTCAGACATTATTTGACATCTTTCTGTGGAAGGTGATGAACGCAAGACCCGATTGTTGATGACAAACATACATTTTTCTCTATGTAAATTTATGATTTTCTGATTGTTGTTAAGCACAATTGCAGGGATCGAACCTTTAATATAGTATTATAAACCCTCTAACATACCGCTCAGCCCAATGGCACACAACTGTGGTAAACGTAAACCGATTACGCAAACAAGTACACACGTTAACATGTCTACGTGGCTCACTGTTTATGAACACAAACAGCGTAATAAAATAAAAATAAAACCAATAAACGAAGTCGCAAAGAATCAGTTTTTCTTTCACTATTGATGAGTTTTCTGTTTCATTTCATCATTAATGGAAAAGGGCTTTTACTATATTTTTAACTGGAAAAGTAAAACTATATATATATATATACGTTATTAGAGGGATGTGATCAGAGATAAGACGATTTTTATTGATATCTATCAGTGAATAAAACAGTTTTATCAGTTTTATACTTTTCTTTCCGCTTTCTACAACCACAACATACATAATAAAACATTTATATCAATTTTAAACCTAATGCCATAAAAAGTTGAGATGTGGCTTTAAATCTAATAGCATACATAGCTTAGACGTGGTTTTAAACCTAATAGCATACATAGCTGAGACGTAGTTTTAAACCTAATGCCATACATAGCTGAGACGTAGTTTTAAACCTAATGCCATACATAACTGAGATGTGGTTTTAAACCTAATTGTTCCTTTCATTTTTTTTAAGTTCTGAATTGTTAATCCGTGTGAAAGAACATACAAATATGTGATACGCGGATAGACCTAGCGTACTTGTACACCCCCTCAATGAGTGTGACGTAGTCGTCCATTCATGATATTGTTACGTCTCTGGTCGTTAATTATTTTCCGTAAATTCGTTCCGACGAACTTTAGCGACACAAGTCCTTTCTTAAATAAAACTGGTTTATTCTTTCTGAATATAACTTTACGATACACTTAATTTCAACAGTCGCGCTATAACAAACGCTATAATTCTCAACGAACTTCTCACATGCTCAAAAATATTCTTACTCAACAATAGTCTGTCCGCAGTTCAATTACACATACCCTGTACACTGTTCCGTCACGTTGTGACCGTCTTATATATACAAGACTAACACATATCTAGTAAACGCTAGAGCATTCATGAAGGAACAGGATATTTCTAGAAAGACGTGGCGTGATACTAGTCACGTGACCTCGTTGACGCAACAATATTTTAAGATTATATCAAGGGCCCATGATGAATACAGCTTCCGTAAAATAAGAAACGTCTAGGAAAGAGCTTCCTCATATAGAAAATGAGGCCAGAAACTATCTAAGTTAAGATAGATAGACATGTTTCAAGGTAGAAAGTAGAATCAGTCTGTATTTTCATGAAGTATTTGGATCTGTGTTAGCTATCGCGTTTGTAGAAATAAGTTGATTTTACGTTAGTCCTAGCATTGTTAGATAGGTATGAACGTAATTTGTAACGTAGGCCTAGAACAGTTTACGACAGTGTACAAGTTTTCAAGTTTATAGAGACGTTAAAGGAGAAAAGAAACTAATTTGCGATATTTATGTGGACTAGACGTTGAATTATGTTCACCAGATAAGTTAAAAGAGCCCATCAATGGAAGAAGAACGTTACTTCAGTACTAACGAACAATACATGTGTTTTTGTTGTTGTTTTTTGCCTGCCTGTCCTCTTGTTATAAAACATTGTGCTGCCTACTAGCTTAACTAAAACTTGATTGTCCCATTCAGCTCGACTAAACGTTTTTAACAATGAGTTTTTAATTATGTTATTCAACTTCGTGTTGCACTATTTTTGCACACTGATCACGTAGTGTTACAAAACAAACCTGGAAATATTGGACTTGTAAGAGTTGTTGCTTAACAAGTTTTGATAAAAGAGTTTTACATATGTTTCACTAAAGTCAAATATGTCAATGTTCGCAGCAGAAACTTACCGTGGGACAAATATAGGATTTGTATCGAATCTCATGGTAACTGTTTATTTTGTAATTTTGATTGCGTCAAAGGCAATAAGTCCAATAACAAAAAACTTCAGTCTTCATCAGTACCAGCTGCAGGAAGAATTTGTAACTAAACCTGATCTCGGGGGTTTCCGATGCTTTGAAATGGCATTTCTAAGGACAGAGTGTGTAGAAATGTATTTGCGTGCACTTGTCCATTTGATTTAAACAATGATACTGTGGAACGTTTAACAACATAAAAGCTACACTCACAGATAGAAACAATTCTGTTGTCCTTTATATTTTTTATTTATGTTATTAACACAACTGGGAAATGAGAACATATAATTGTTATTGTTTTAGCCATAATCATATTTCGTATTTCATATCGTTATACAATAAAATAAAATAAGACTTTCACAAAGAGAAACAGACTGCAAAAATATGTCAATTATTTTAACACCATTGTAATCCTGTTTGATCAATTAAATCAAACAACTCGCTATCAAAGATTCTATGAATACCTATATAAATATTAACTTGTGTTACTTCACTCCTATGTAAATGGCACACCTGCTCAGTCAGTGTATAATCTGCTTAGAAAGGATTCGGCCTATCTATGAATTGTTAAACACTTCGGTTTCTAGGATACAATTTTTTGATCCCTCAACTACAGTTAACCAAACGTCATCCAATCTGTAATTGGATCTATATAATTTGGTATTACTTTTAAGCAATTGTTCAAATAGAAATGTGGAACGAGTGGGGGGGGGGGGAAGAATCAGTACTTACCTCATTAATTCATTCCTCTTCAGGGGGGAAGGGCACTCGACTCGGAAACCCCTTATTTTTTTGTCAAGCAATGTTTTTCCTATTATTATGAACGAACTTATGAATAGTATTAAGCGCTACGAAGTTCTTAAATTTTAAATCCCTCTCACCCAAATTGAAAATCCTAGATCCACCCCCTCTTATTAGAAAATCAACTGTCCAGTACATCTTATTAAGTAATATAAGAAATGGGAGCCACTATCAATTTTGAAGAAATTGTACATTTCAGATTTATCATTGGTAAGGTACAAGACACTCCCCAAGATTTTTATCACAGATTTTAGGCCTTTTAGTTCCTAATGTTCGCCAGCTTTCAGAATTTAATAAAGTATATCTATTTTGACTCCATCAAATGCAATTGTAGGTAACAGCATGGAGCCAAAATAGGGGTTTGTAGTTTATATAAATAATGTCTACAGTATCTCAAGCCTTGTTTCCCTACTTTTTTTTTAATCCCTATTTGCAGGTTTTTAAATTTCAAATTTTTTATTTATCTTGTTGTTTTAAAAACAAGTTAACAATAAATGATGTTTTTTCTACATCCTTCAAGTTTACTTTACTAGTATTATACTGCATATATAAATAATAAATAGTGTCCCTAGAATTTTTTGCCTCTCATAGTCCGGCCCAACTGATGAGTTCTAGTATTGAACGAAATGCATATTTGGTATTGACTTACGGAAGACAAACAAGGGATCTGAAATGATGTCTATTACACATCTTTTATTTCAAGCTGAAATGGACAAATTAAGTGGAATGTAGAGTAACAAATAATATCCACAATTAATTTGTTTTTTAACAGTTTTATGCACTTAAACCGTAAGATGTATAATATTATAAACCTAGTCGGCGATATATATATTATTGTAAATTGAGTTTTTAATTTATGTGTCTGTATTGTTGTTTCTTCAGAAAGAGATTTGACGTCACGTGATGAGTGCATGGCTTAACATCTGGAACAGTGTGAGCATTATAAAAACGCGAATAAGAATAAAACAGTTGATTATTGAGGCTGAAGTAATGATTTATTATTTTATTGACATATGACGTATGTTGTAAAGAGCGCGGAAAACCTGCAAGAAAGCGAAGTTGTTGCATTAGTATCTACTATGAACTTAGGCTTACCAGTCAACCCTAGTTATGCTAACTAATAATCGAGGAAATAAAACAATTTTATTATCGTTAAGTGGACTGAACCCCCCCCCCCCAATAATAGAGTCTATTACAACAAACCTCAAGAACATTGTCACATGTTTGTCTGTGATATAGGTAACTGTTTAACTAAAAAACTATACCATACGTTAGTTTATGGTATAAATTATTGCGTCTTTGAATCACAAGATCTGTGTCACATTCTACTCGGAAACATAGATTCTTTTAGAACTACAAGAAGTGTGTGTAACATTTTTTAGTGATATTTGTAGAAATAGAAGAACGGGGTGGCGCATGTTATTCAGTGATATGGATTAGTATTATTTGAACCAGAAGAACTGAGTCAGACGTCCTTTCTAAAATATAGGTTGTTATTTGAAGAAAAAGTCACACGATAGTCTCTCCATGTGTTATGAACTGTAATTATTTGGTAAACGTCAGGTTGTGATACGTTTTACAAGTTTTTCCATTCATGTGGATTATTAGACCTTAAAGAATAACTTTATAAAGTGTCTCATGTTATTTCGGTAGTCTAAATTATGACTTTTCTACATTCCATCTAAAACTGATCTGAAA